GTTGCCGGTCCCCGGTCCGGTACGGGGGCGACACTGAGGGTTGCAATCCGTTGCCGGACACGGAAAAAGACAAAAGACAAAAAAAAAAAAAGAAGCTTTTACTTAGCCATATCATGAGGTAAAGTCTTCTGTCACTGGTTATTTTTCTAACAAAGAAAAGCTCCTTTTCCCATGGGCATGCCAGCTTTAGAATCGTGTCTCAGAGGCTGGCGTGGGGCGGGTCTGCCCTGCTCAGCTACCTGTGCGGTTGCTGGCATCTGGGAATCGCATCTGGAGGGCTGGAGCCGCTCAGCCCTTTCATTTGTGGATCCAGGAAGCGAATCCAGGATCTGAAGAAATATACTGAAAACTCTTCTCTCCTGTTTGGTCTTTTTCCTACTCCCCTGGGGACTGTGACCCAAGACTGAAAACTATCAACAGACAGAGCATTTCTGGGGCCAGGAAGAATGGAAATTCACTCCATGGAATGAACCTGATTTTGCAATTTTCCTGTCTCCTAAGAAGGACAGTTTTTAGTGCTCCTAACACTCAGAGACATCTCAGATCAGGAAGAAGGCTTTTGGGTTGGTTGGCTGACAATACAGGTGCTACGAAAAGCAGGCAGGTCTACTGCTGTTACCTCACAGGTTGCTTTTCTGGAGACACCAGGCCTCAGCTCTTCCTTGAGTACATTTTCCATATATTTAGAAAAACGTAGGGAGCGAAAAGCAGGCAGGTCTACTGCTGTTACCTCACAGGTTGCTTTTCTCGAGACACCAGGCCTCAGCTCTTCCTTGAGTACATTTTCCATATATTTAGAAAAACGTAGGGAAATTGTTTGAGACTGACAGATCCCAGACAGCTTCCCAAGCTACGGGCTTAGTGTTCTAGAGGAATAGTTCCCAATTAGGTGCCAGTCTGCGTGAAGCTCCCACCCATCCATGGTGACACACAAAAAATAAGAGCCATTTGAAAGTCTTCATTAAACTATCTTGATTCCACTTAAAAGATTGTCCTCTATTCTGAAATATGTTTCCTCCTATTGTGGTGGTCAATGTTCTTTGTTTTATAAAATGTTGAATGTTGATTGAATTTGGTGATTTGAAAAATGTCCTTAGTTGGTAAAAGAAAGTTGGCAACCTATTAAGTCTCCCCAGTTTTATTTTCACACTTTTCTAGACCCTGAGACCCCATTTTACTATTAATAAAAGGACTTTAATTGTGGAGAAGCCAGCGAGGAAATTGTACAGTTTCACTTTATTTACCAAATGGCCACTAATTTGGCAAATTTTACTATCTGGGACACAGCTAGGGAGCCAGAAGTTGTTAAAAAAAAAACCGTAACCAAGCAGAATAAGATATTACTTCATCTAACCTTAAAGATCTTGTATTTTGTTACTAAAAAATGCTTCCAAGCCCTTCATCAGAGTCTGTTTACCTTTACTGTAAACACATTTCTTATAGACTCAATTACAGCAGTTTAGTGGCCTTAGATATGAAAGGGAAGGTGTTTTGGGGGAGAAGACTGCACACACAGCTGGACGCTGAGAGGATAATAATAATCAGGTTATAATAGTATGATAGATAATATATTAATAGTATAAAACAATAAAATAATAGAATAACATTATCACTATTATCACATACTATAATTTTGTTATATCAATAATATCATTATCATAATAATATGTTCATATTAATAAGGTTATCATAATAAAATAATATGTTTCTGAGCCTTTATCATATTCTTCTCCAGGAGATTCTGAGGATGCTTTGTCATGCTTTCTGTAGCACAAGCTGACATTTGTCACTTCTTGCCTGGTGCTGCCCCACGCTGCTCTGTCAATCCCCTCTGTGCCTCTGCACATGTGGGAACTCTCTCTTGTCCAAGGATAGACTCTAGCCTCTCTCTTTAAGATCTAAGCACAATTTACACCGGCCATGACATTTAACCCCTTCTCCCAGTCTTGAGGATAATGCCAGTGAACTACAGGCAGAAAAGGAAAGGTTAAACTGGCAGTCAGATGTCAGTACTCTGGAGTTCAGAGATCAGACCCCTCGCAGGGCCCATCTGGTCATCTCCTCTTGGCCCCAGCCTGCAGCCACATTGATGGGCCTCCTCACAGCTGTGAGAGCATTACTTTTATGGCCTTACTGCCCCCTTCTTGTCCCAGCCACAGGAACCAAAAACCTCTTAACATCGTATTTTCTATGAAGAGCCGTACTTTGCTATGAAAATAACCTTCTTCATTATCAAACAGAACATCTACCTCTCAGAAGCATCTGGTAATTGATTTAGGTCCTTAGTTCAGAGACTCCCCAAAATCAACAGGTAGATTTTCCTTATAGTTTATGACTAAAAAGACCATTGAGCTCTTTTTGAAGAGGCCGGGAGTGTCTGCACCAAGGACAAATCTTAGCTTCCATCCTATAGATGCAGCTGATAATAATGTCGCCAAATAGTGGGATTTTTAAAAATTATTATTATTTTTTATCTTCTGTGTCTTTATGGTTGGGATTCTGATTTAAGCAGGAAGGAAAAAATGCTGGGTTTGAAAAACAGCCATTCGTTTCCTACGTAAAAATAATAATTAATACTAATGGCAATGACAGTCATTCGTAGTATTTGCTTAGCACTTTGATGTTTAAGGTTCTGGGTGGAAGCACTTTACATGTATTTTCTTACTTGATCATTGATAGTTTGATAGTGAGAGTCAGAAAAACTGCAGGAATAGGCATGAATGAACCAAGCCCCGTACCCTGAGGCCATTTACTATCTGGTCAGTAGCTCTCTACACCTCAATAACCCCTTTATTTTACTGTTCAGAATAGTAATTATACTTCTACATTCAAAAAAGGGTAAATTATGTCTTGTCTGCTTGTTTTCATGAGTTAAGAAAAGTGCGACGTATTCTAGAAAAGATATCATCCCTGAAATACTTTTTAAAAAAAGGGCCAAAATGTTTTAAAATCTTGGTAATTGTATCGTTCAGGACATAAATGCAGCTGCTGTAACAAAGACCAAATGACAGTGGCTTACAGAAGGCAGAAGCTGATTTCTCCCTCATGTTACAGTTACAGTCTGGGAAGGCTGTCGGGGCCGATGCGATGGATGGCTCGGTGGCGTGGGGACCAGGCTCCTTCTATACTGTTGCTCTGCCATTCTTAACACCTGGTTGCTACCTCCTGGTCTAAACTGGCTGCTCCAGTTCCCACGATCCCACTATTCCAGCCAGCGGAGTGGGGACAAAGAGGCGGTGGGAAGGCGCGCCTTTTCCCTTGAAGGGCCCAACCCCTTGAAGGGC